CTCTCGCACTTATAATCTCCTTCTGACACATTAATGCACATCTGAAAATCTCTGTCAGTTCTCCCTTTGTCAAAATTTAATTTATACATTAGATTTTTATCACATGATTTATCAGGTGATTTACATTATTTATTAATATAGTCTTTATCAAAGAAAATTATAAAAAAGCAAATAAGTGGGTAAATTTATTACTAATTTAATTATAATAATCTTTTATTATGTCATAAATCATCATTAGATAAAATAATAAATAAAAATAGGTCAAAGGAATAATTTCAAAGATAAATTTATTAGACATTCAAATCTAAACTCTTTTCAAAAACTTCATTTTCCCCACCCTCAACAACACGCGAAATTGGTGTAAATTCGGGACGATCGTGTTCCTTGATATATTTCTTTTTTTTGTGAAAAAATTAAAAAGAATCATATGTTTTTTTCATTTTTTATATGTATTTAGAAATCGCGATTTCATGAATATAGATTTTTACCTGAGCATAGTCAAGCGCATACCGTTTTTCTTTAACGGTAGTGTTCTTTCCGATCCATACGAATACTAATAAATATGCCAATATTTATATCATTAATAACATAATAATTAAATGAACATTCTCAAATAACCATACTTGTTTTTTTGTATTATAACATTACCTTCGAACCCAGCATCATAAATAAACACATCATTCGTATCGAAATGTGATTTACGTATATTGCCTGTTGCTTCTTGAGTGAATTTTATTTGTCCACTGGCATCGCTTAATCTTTTTTTTATTAAAAAATTAGTAAATCAATTCAAGAAATACAAAATGATAATATAGTAGTTGATGATTCCTACCGATATAGTTTTTTCTCGTAATGAGCAGCTTCGGTCGCAACATCTGCTTCAGCGGGTTTAATTTCACCTTTGCTGCCGAGAGCTTCCCAGAATTTAGGCATTTCCTTATCACCTTCATCTATAAAGATAAAATGTTTTAACCGTAATTAATGCTCTTCGATCATTCACACACGCGAGCATGTCAAAGAAATGTAAATTATCCACGTACCAACAACAATAATATTTGTGGCACCATTTCTTTCAGACTCAACAGCTCTCACAAACTCTGCAGCCTTGATCCTCTCAGTCCCCTGAGAATCTTTTCCATTTAATTGATATAGCGTGACGCCCGTGTCAAGGACAAACACGTCTCCGCTATTAAGTGATCGATAATCTTTTGGCACTTCACGGATTACTACTGTGCGTCCAACTTGTTTTAATTTTAAAAGACGTGGTCTGTATGATTTAGGTTCGTTGTGTTTGAATCCGCTAGCAATGCCACCTTCTTCAACGATAAAGTGATTAAAGTAGGATAAAAATAGTTTGGATTCGTGACCTTGAACCTTTTTGAAAACGATAAATTAAAATCAAACTCTTGAAACAACTATAATAAATATCACAAGTTACTTGGTGAAAAATATAAATACCTCGCGATGTTGGATTGGAGATGTATCAAGAACTGAAATCAAACAAGATATCAGAGAAAATGATATATTTATTTGATTAATATTCGAGGATAATTGTCGGGGCTGATGCTGAACTCTGGATGAAGCTCAAATTAGAGCATCCCATTGGCTGATCAATTTTTGTTCTCTAATTTCATTGGTCGATTTTAGCATCAGCCAGATTTCAGCATCAGCAGCCACAACAATTATAGATGCTATAATAAAAAAATACTATACAATCATCCAATTCAACCGTTTTATATGCAGCTGTTCCAACTTCATCCTATACATTAAAAATCAAGTTAAATGCAATCATTATTATAATTTAAGCAATAGGTATATTGTCTCTTTTTTATAATATTTACCTGCGAACTATCCAATCCAAGCCAAAAATGAATGTTGTGCGATAAAGTTTCGTTATCCTTATTCTTTCTGGACTAGAATGATCGATGTATCGTAATTATTTTGATATGTTGTAGTTATCTCTCTGAACACTCCTTTTTTTTTAACTTACATGAAGGACAATGTAACTGTCACCTAAATAAATAATCAATTTGCAAAGAATAAAGATGATATTCAAAAAATTCAATGAAAATTCCTGATTGATCTTACCAGCATAAAATTTTCCATATTTTTCCTTTGGCCAAGGTTTCACATGGAATTGTTCGATACGCCATACCCAAAGTCCACTTTAACAATCAATCAAATTATAACAAGGTGTTAATGGATAAAAACGAATCAATAATTCGATCCTTCACATAATACGATCAGAATAATCGAATGAAAAGAATAATAATGATAATACTTGCGCGTTCTTGCCTACCCCAGCAGAAGGGTCAGTCCATGCCTGTTCTTTTTCGGCAGCAGCATGGTGAGCATCTTTTTCAAGTTTACTACCAAAATTTGCAAGGTTGGTATCTCCTATGTCTTTTATCGTTCAAACGTACATAATGTTAGTTTCATTGACTTGATGTTTCTACATGATTAAATTAATATCATGCTCACTCCATTTTGACGGTTTCTGCATGTCTGAAAATTAAAATATCGAATGGAAAATGGACGGAGGGATAATCAAAATCTCATGCATAGAGATTATTATGATCACCACAACCCGAAAACTTTAAGTGATCCGAAACACAAGATAATCTTTAAAGCTCGGTAACACTAAAACTCATTTAAAGCAACAAAGAATCGTGTTTTTCGTCAAAACAACGCTCTACTATGGTAAAAAAAACAATAGAAGACAATCGGAATCTAATTTCCTAATATATCAGCGCAATCGTAATAAAAAAAAATTAGGTTTATGGTGGTAAAAAATTGGTGTATGAAATGAAAGATAAAAATAGAAAGAATACAAAAGCAAAATGAAAGGTTTCGGATTACAAATAATGACGAAACTCAATTGATGCAGTTTTCATTTAAACAATAATTGCGCACTTTAATCTTATTGTTGCTTATTGGGGTCATCCGTATTATTTATACTTTTGCAATGTTGCCCAATATCAGAATTCAAACCTTGTTTATATCCCTCCTCCCTGAGCTGAGACAAAAGTATTTTTTATATGTTTTATGTGTGTTTTATATACTCATGGTTATATCTCAAAATTTATATGATCCTAAAGGGGATATAACTGTATACTAAATCTCGCAAAATCCAGTATATTTTGAATTTTTACTAATTTCCCGTTAATACTTTTATGATTAACTTGTATTGCTCTGTTGGTGTTGCATGATTTTAATTTAAATAAATTTCTATATTTAAACCGGGCCCCGATAAATTACGTCCATATAACTTGTTACGAGCATTATGACTCCACAAACTGACAGCTCACATATAAATAAAACGGAATTATGCATATATTTGCTATAAAATTGTCAAGTGATGATGTATTTTCTGCATTACTCTTTTCAGAAACTTTCCGATTGAAGTTTCACGAAATTTTTTTTACACTGATTCTTATTGTATTTGATATTCGAATTTTATTTTAAGAAACCTTATCTCATGAAATAATTCCGATTTTTCATATATTTCTGTTGAGTTTGGTTATTCCGACTATTGTTGTCTTATGACTGATTATCTTGGCAAGAACGTGGGATGGATTCTTTCTACAGAGGCTTGTGGACAAATACTAATTTTTAACGTAATTTAAAAAATTATATTGAAAAATCAATAAATATGTTATATTATTAGAATTTTTATTATAAATTCAAATTAGCCAAAAACAAGAAAATAATATTATGTATTCAGTTCTGAGTAGTTTAAAAAGAAAAATGAGTTTCTATACATTTTGTGTCACTTTTATGAAGCGAATTTTCTAATTTGAAGGTAATCCAACCATAAAATTATGTGTAATAAATGAATTTTTTAAAACAATAAAAATCCATAAATACTTACTATGAAAACTAATTTTTAATTTCTTAGTAAAAATACAAGTTTTAAATATATGTTCTTTAAATAATTGTTATATCAATCAATAAAAGCTGTCATTTTGACTAAAAAAAACTTTTTATTAAATTTATGATTTGATTGTTTCAAATTAAAAATTTAATTTGAGAAAAAGCATTCATATTTTGTGATTAATAAGAATAAACATGCTGCTTTACTGATAATTTAAAGAGCTATTAATTTTTAAAATTAAATTTATTCAATTCATTAATTTTCATAATGATATATGAGTTTCATACAAATTGCAATAAATTTTAAGCCAGTAAATCTTTTAAAATTTAAGTATAATATGCGCTATAAACGCTATAAATAAACTTAAAATGGTAAAGTATGTTTTCTCATTAGTTATTCAGATTATTATGTGAGACAGCGTCCACAATATTCTCTAGGTTTCTGTACGTGATAAAGTGAATAAGAAATACTGAAAAAATAAAAGATAAACATAAGTGATGAGAAATCACCGTTTTTAACCTGTAAGTCCAATTACGATACAAAATCTTCTCAAACGGTTACATTGAATTGAGGAAATGAAACAAGTTTGGAGAGAAAGGACGAGTCCTTTGTAAGTACATCCGACATATTCTATCCAACTATACCATAAATCTCATTTTCTCCTTGTGACACTTCCAAATAAGAGAATGATGCGACTATAATAATTCATTAAAAAAACACAGAATAACCCTTTTTTACAAGAGATAATAATAGCATCTGGTGCATATGATAGCATTACATCGAAGAATTGGCATGTACTTAGGTTGCACGCAGCATCTCTGATATTCGTTTTACGATATATCTATATTACATAAAGTAAGCGTCCCTATTATTCGACGCATTTATATTAGCTTGACCTGTGAAATACGCTCTTTTTGGTGTTAATTTCTTGCAGAATCTAGAAATGAATCTTTTATGTCTACTATGAGATGCTTATTATATATAATGTCAAACTTTAAAAGCGATAGAATAATTATATATAAAAAAACATGTCGGCAAAAAAAATAATAGGTAAACAAAGGCAGGTGAATTAGAGTGTAAAGAAACCAAACTAAGCAGCAACGAAGAAAGTCAAACTTCTAATAATGGTTAAATTGCTATCATTTCGCCTTCCAAATACATAAGCACCCATAAAATTAATATATTATGGTACACGTATAAGGAGCAACAATCATCACTGCTACTGAATAATTTAATTTTGACAAAGGGAGAACTGACAGAGATTTTCAGATGTGCATTAATGTGTCAGAAGGAGATTATAAGTGCGAGAG